CCTAGTGCAACCAAGTATAGAGTGGGCAATCGATCCTTTAGTCCAGCCCAGTATTCTAATGCCTGACGAATTGGGTGTACTTCCTGTTTCTCGGTTTTGGTCGCACGACCTCTACCCTTTTGCACGAGGATTGTCTTAGGAATCAGACAAGTAGGACTCCCCCATGTCTCTAGTTCTCGTCTGACGTTAGCCTTCATAGCAGATTTATCATTTGTCGAACCAGAAGTATTCCCATCCTTATCAGCAATAGCTTCCTGCCGTCTTTCAAACCGGATTCGTTTGCGTTTACTTACAGGTGATAATTGATCGATATCTAGCTCATCGTGGTCAAGCAATTCTACAGCACTCGCCATTTGTTGATCAGTGGTTCGCTTGTTGCTATCGATGGGTGTTGACAATTCACCTGAAGATGTGCAAGACGATACCTTTCCTTTAAGATACTCAAGGTACTCAGATAGTACTAATTCCGACTCTAATATTGTCAGACATCTCTTTGATACTTCTTTCTTAGCTTCCAGGATATCCGATACTTGTGCTTCTGTAGACATGCTCAGGGATTCCAAATCCTTATGTAGAGAGTGCAAGTAATAGTTGACGAGGGTCTCAATATCAGGTTTTTTTAGGGAAGTAGTGAGTCATGGCTTCCCTCATACGAATTCGATAGCCCTGGATTTCTTTGGTAAGCTCTCTTTCTTCAGTCTCTTCAGTATCTAGATTAGGTCCCGAACTTTTTTTGACAGCGATCTTTACATCAGCACCAAGTAATAGCTTACAATCTAATATATGTTCGTATGAGTCTGCGAGGCAGTCTTTCGCACTCAGTATTTTCATCTGACACGACATCAGTAGCCGAGTGCACCCTATCCATTCCCTCCGAATTCACGTAGATTCCTGGTTGCTTTGAATTTTTCTTTTTGTATCCTCCCGTCTTCATCACCCCGTATTCTAGTATGTTTATCATCTCCCTTCGTATCTTCGATTAGCTTCATGATTGCTGTACAAAGATAGTCATTACGCCCGATCATTTCATACACACCAGACCATCGGACACCGCCATTTCTATAGTTTTAGCTATATTGTCGTATATTAACATCTCCTGAGCTTTCACGAGTTTATCGGCCCCTGCCATACTCTTATTAAAGTACGCAGCTTGATGGGCACAAATTATATCATGTTTGATATTGGTTTGCTGTCGTTTCGGTGCCACAATACTTTGCATCGTCTTCTCGTTTTCTGCACCTATAAGAGCTTCCAGTATATTGTGCTGTTTCTTGAGTTTGTGCTTATACAAGCCCTTCTGCTTATCATTTAATACAACACGCATCTTATCCGTCGCAGTAATCAAGGCTCCCCCACATGCCTTCTTCATTACGAGGGCAATGCTATGAGCACGATGTGAGATTCATTGCTGCTTGAAGATTCACAGCATTATCAGGCGTCGCGCTATGAATCACCTGTTTAGGATGCAGCCCTACAGAATCATTCTCACCTACGACACCAATTCTAAAATGAGTGTCAGGCATTGTTCTTAGAATCCCCCATTCTCGAAGAGCTTGCACCTACCATTCTGTAAGGTTTATGGCCGAATGAGAACCTACCACCTCTTTCAACCCTAAGACTGCCGATATTTTGATAGGTTGCGATCCAACAGGGTCAGGTTCATACCAATGTAAGATGCTACCGAGGTAATTAGTGCCGGTAGCATCTTTCCCTAGATCATTCTCTAGACTAGCAAAAGGTGGTTTGTAATGTCATAGAGCGTCTCTCCATTTGTTCAATACTACGTCTCTAATAGATTTCTCTAATATTGTTAGATACTTTCTAAGGGTTTACGGAACATCAGGGTTGTAACTGGAGTGTGCAGTGGTTGGTACTGCGACTGCAGCAGCCAACCATTTTCTTAAATGATCCTTCCACCCTAAGGTGAAAGGAAGATCGTATGAAGCCACACAACGAGCCCAATGTAGGCCGGCAAGTTTCTTAGACGTATTGTATTTGACTTGAGGCAGTCGATTCGGTAGCCCAGAATGCCGTAAGGCTCTGTTGGCGCCCCGAAGTCTTGTTTCGCTTTTCTACTATATTTGCAACAAAATTGCTCAAGTCGTCATACTACACATTCCCATGAGTGCCTTCATAGTGGATCAAGGCGTTGCTTGCTTTCTTTCTATTCCCTGCGTAAAGTTTACCATTACCGCAATAGTTACAAGACGCCAATTTTTCTGGATTGATTTGTCCGCCGTAAAGTGTTCAGCTACAAAATCAAGTTTTACTTCTATTTTTAAACTTCTGTATAACTTTGTGCAATCATAGATGCTGGTTTGAACTCTTTTGGCTCTTTTTTTGCCCTTAATTGCCACCACTTTGATCTCTTCCCCTTCAGGAGCCTCGTCCTCTTCAGGAGCTTCGCCCCCTGCCGTAGCCTTGCCCTCTTCAAGATCCTTGTCTTTTCCACGATCGCCTTCAGTATTGTTGCCCTAAGGCCACTAACCGGTGTATCTGCCTCACTACTCGCCATCCCGAATGCATTAACTCATCTTCCAGAGACTCCCACACGGTTACTTTTATTTGCTATTTGAGTCTTAAATTTTGTTTTCAATAAGAAACTTATGTAAGAAACGCAAAGACCGGGCCCTGTGGGGCGTGAGTCCGCGTGAGCCACTTAGGAAAATAACAGTGGTGAGTAGATAATGACTTCTTAATCGACTTCATAATCAAGAAATGTCTCGTTCTTCATAATCAAGAAATGTCTTGTTCTTCATATTACGGGATTATCCCGTTATTCCATATTCCTTATTCAAAGTATGTTGACTTCTTAATTCATTCCATATTCCTTATTTAAGGTATGTTGACTTCTTAATTCATTCCATTTTCCTTATTCAAAGTATGTTGACTTCTTAATTCATTCCATATTCCTTATTTAAAGTATGTTGACTTCTTAATTCATTCCATATTCCTTATTTAAGGTATGTTGACTTCTTTATTCATTACATTTTCCTTATTCAAAGTATGTTGACTTCTTAATTCATTCCATATTCCTTATTTAAAGTATGTTGACTTCTTAATTCATTCCATATTCCTTATTTAAGGTATGTTGACTTCTTAATTCATTTCATATTCCTTATTTAAGGTATGTTGACTTCTTAATTATTATTTCTTATTAAGAACTGCGTGATTTCTTAATCTTACAAAATTCTTAATTAAGCTCTAAAAATTTCCAAAATTCAATTTGTCTTCGACCTATATTTATTAATTTATGAAATCCGGAATTGGGTCATATTACGTATTTCTTTAAATAATTACGGCTATTTTCGCCCTTCATATTTTTTCGAAATTATGTGATGTATGGTTTTGCTTCCGAGTTCTCCGAGGATGTGGACTGTGGAGTCTGTGGACGTTATTTATTTACTTATTAGTCATATTTTTGTTCTTCTCTTCTTTCTCTCCGCGCGTGATTATGTATTATGTAGTAGTCAGTATCAGACTATCAGTAGAGAACTAGATATCGGGGTTTTTTTTGTATTTATTTACATAGTCTTCTCATATAGTGTAGTCAGTGTACTATTTAGAAGGCGGCTATTTATAGGCCTATATCCTTCTGTGTTCAATTTTCAACAGACTGTTATTTTATGTGAAATACATACTTACTATGCGGGCCGTCGGACTCGCGTGTTTTAGCAGTGGTGATTTTATTTATATCTTGTCCATGTCTAAAAATCAAACATCAAACAGCATATTGAATAGTATCACAAAAGTTTGTCTTTGCGTCGACACGTAACCATGTCAAGCTGTATCTTCTGTAAAATAGTGGCGGGTGATATCCCTAGTTTCAAGGTACGTGTCCACAAGTGTGAACGAATAGCAAGGTGTATTGCTTGACTTGGCACGATAAGGATACTATGATATATTCATTCGACTAAGAGATTAAAAGCCGTTAATATATGTTTTAAACGGTAAGGTGGAGCTGTTGTCGCATATGTAACAGATATTATTTATACTAAAGCTTATAACATTATCATTAGTACATTAATACTCGTTAATATATATATATATATATATATATATATATGTGTGTGTGTGTGTGTTGTGTCGTGTGTGTGCATGTCTACATATACGTACGTATGTATACACATAAACGTACACACTATATAGTTATGTATTTATTAA